CTCGTGTTAGATTCCAGTGGGGTTGGGGGCGCGGTTGGCATAGGCGCTGTAGCGTTAGATTATGGCTTGAGAAAAGTAAAGTCAGCGTTAGATGACTGAGTGTTACGACAAGGGTTAGAGCTTAAGCCAAGGTTATGTCACGGGAATAAGCACTCCAGGAGTTGATCGAAGGGTCAGCTGTAGCACGGAGGTGCCTATCTGCGTGTTCAACTTCATTCTATTTGTTAACACATTATCAGGGCGTTTTGGCTGGTTGGAGGGTGAAAACGGAGAGTAACGTTATTGGTGCTTTGATGATATGCGAATGGAGTCCGGGGGTGTCTTAGGTGTTAATGAGCATCGAGTTATCGAGGTCCGTGGTTTGTAAACGTCTGTTTAATTTGCAAGCCCTGGGTTTACAATTGGCACTGCCAGTAACCCACTTCACAGTGGCATGACACCCAAAGTTTGCAGTAACATTTGCTTCCCGTCAAATTTCTTCCATCTGGTTACGTGGTAATTAACCGCCATGATCGTTGTTGAAGAGATTATAGAACATGGCGTTATGGCATTCTCATCCATTCCCAATTTATGCAGTAGAACGGTAGATTTATCACCGTTATTTAGTATGGTGTGCGAAATCATTAGTGTTTTCCTAATAGTGGATAATTTAAAAAGACGTAAACAGTAAACGAAACAGCCCGAGGAGTACACCACATGACATTAGAAAAATACACCAAATTTTGACCGCATGACCAAGAGGTCGCCAGAGAACCTGAAATTGCATTTCAAAGTTGAAGATTGGCGAAATTTTGTTCCAGGAAAATATACAATGGATGGGCTATCTTACGAAATGTGGACTGAAATTCTGAAGTGCGTTTTAAATTTAAAAAGCCTAATTAGGTGGGGTTTTCTATCATTTATCATGTTTGGCACTGCCAAGGTGTTCAAACTACGGAAGGGTGTCGGCATTTAAACACGCTACAAATCGGCCGCCTGCGCGACTAATGCTCCGTTAGAAGTATCAATGAAGTGGCGTAATTTTTTGAATTGCTTTTCAATACAATAATAAACTGAAATGCATTTTGTAAAAATCACGAACAAAATACACTTTCTCCCATTGATTTAGAAGTTCTTTACGTCTTTGTCGACTCTTACGTTTGAAGAAGTATTTCTGGGTTCTCAAGGGGTGTCGAGCTGTAAGTAATTTCAAGACCGTGAAACGCCTAATCAGACAGCATCAGCTCAGAACATTTTGATGCTATTTATAAGATGGACAACATGGTGTACAATTATTTCAAAATTGGACCATATGGGATTGTATGGTTTCCACTATATGACATTCATACGGCTTGTAGTTTGGAAAGTGTAAATGCATGCGAAACGGCAGGCCATGTTACGAGTACTTCGGAAATCAATAAGTTTTGTTAGGCGTTGGTTGCGCCGTCCTAGTCCCAAGTGTAAGCTTAACGTGGGCAAAGGTAGTGGGAATCAACCTCATAGAAAACGTCATCTTCTATCAAACCAGTAAAAGAAAACGGCATTCGCTAGGTTTCTTTTGTGATATAAATTTGGATATGAAAGAATATCAGAAAGCAAAGGGAAAGACCATGCCTCTCAACCAATCGTTTTTGCAGAACGCGAATTATGCATGTGGTTGACAAGATGCTCGTCCGAAAGCCGGTATCATGTTGTGACTGCCTTAAAATTATGCGTCATCATAACTTATATGAAAACTCCACTTAGGCAGTCTAATCAAAATAAAAACTCAATTTATAATTTTGGTTAATACTGAATGAGATACCGCGTCTACTGCATTCTCGAGTCGGCCTCTTTATCACTATAGGATGTCCGTATATTAAACGGGTGATGGAAGTGTGTTAGCATTTGGAAGATACGCGTACGATGAATTTTCACGTCTTCGGAAACTCCTGTCCTCAGAGTGACTATAATCTTCCAGACTATGTGTATGACCAGTTCTTCAGGCCTGCATTATCTCACTCCTCAGCAGTTCTAAGCAAGTTGCTGCCGTGATGGAGCAGCTATGAATAAATTCAAAAATCTAGTTGGGGTTCGATCCCCACGAACTGCATTTGCAATATGTTTAAAAAGCTACACACACGAAACACTGTCCGCACTCCTGAAACGCAGAAACTTGTCTTGAAACACACCGATCGAAAATAGAGAGGGTCCAAAGGCGAACGACCGAGCTAGGGCTTTTAAGGATAGCGTATACCTTACTGGGATGCTTTAGGATTGCTCGGTGTTTGGGTGTCCTTTTCACTAAAAGGCGTTCCTGTCACATCACCTCTAGTCTAGCTATAGTCGTAGTAAAGATGGGTAACTGCCTCTGACCACCAAAATCATTTCCATTGGATATGAATAAGTCATTTAACTCTCCTGTGTAAGGAAACGTCCAATCCTCGAATAATTTTAAACCCAACCAACAATTTTGCTTGCGCGTAGGTTTCGCAACTTTAAGCAGCACACAGTTAGTTTTAATAACATCACATATTTTGCGGTGCTGCTAAGAATACAACACAGAAGCGCAATGATTTATTGCAGTAAATGCAACTCTTAATGCACACAGCGTAATCAAAATTAAAAAAGAAACAAATATGACGCTGTATAAATAAATATTGCACGGTCTTAAAAGAATCCTAATTAAAAGCGTTTTGAAACCTCATGATGATGCGTTATAAAGTAAAAAAACTTGCTGAAAACATAGTTTCCTACCATAGGATTGCATGAACGAATAAATGGTCAGTTATTTTGTAGAATATATATTTTAATTTCTAAGGGTCGCGAAAATAGGAGGGAAATAGTTATACAGTTTATTTAGTTTAGTTTTATAAAGGGAAACATAAGCGAGCACTTTTAAACTCCCTATTGGTAACAAATCATTTGAGAAAGGCCCTGGCAAGTAAGAAGTTGAAAAAGAGATTTTGTACATAATTGCATGTGAAAGGCAGGCAGTTGTCAGGCAATCGGAAAATAGTAACCACTCGTTGTAAGTAATATAAATGTATATAAGTTGGTGATAGCTGAAATGACAAAGTGTGCGGCTTGTAATTGGGAAGCTTGATAGGCGTAGAGTCTGTATTTAAAAATGTCCACTCAGGAGGAGAGTACGACATCCGTAAGCAGGAAATTCTACGCTGTAACCCCTTTGTTGCTGAAAAAAGAAATTACGTCGATTATCCTTGCTTTACCTACGCGTAGATGTAGGGGATGACCGCGAGTTAAATTGAGTAAAGTAATCACTGAGATGTAAACAACAGTCTATGCCGTTTATAATGCCCAATCTTAGTAAAAGGCTATCGCATAGTTGTCTATGGGGAGGGGGAAACAGGTTGAGATTTGACAGTCTGCTGAAGTTAATAAATTACATAAACATAGGCTACTTAAATAGTCGTAATAGCATATTCTTAACACTAAATTGTCGACAATGGCTATTAAGGTGGCTGTAGTCCGGCGTTATTGTGGTGCGCGCTCAAATGCTGACCTAGCCTTCGTTGAAAAGTGTCCACGATCCCAACATAACAACATCAGCGGGCAAAGCATTCCAAGTTGCAACAACTCTGCAACCCTTCCAAAAAACTGTAGGTTTTTGATAGTCCAAGGTCTCCATGCTTGTGTGGCGTATTCCAGGTAAGGCCGCACGCAGTGCCAAATATTTTACAAAAGCTGTCAGCGCCAAATCCCATAAATGACTTACAATGTAGCCATAGCCGACTTAACTGCCTTTACACAGTACAGCATTGGTTGGAGTAAAGATGTCATTTGGAAACCCAAAACCTTCTAACTGTCAACGTATTGCAGTGGTGTTCCGTGGAGAAGGTAAATCATCGAGCTGGAGGCTCTGCAGCTGCTGAGTTGAAGAAAGTTGCGCTTGCTCATATTGAAAGGCAAAAGCCAACACTTCGACCAATCCCCAAGCCTGTTCAAGTTTGTCTGCAGGTGGTCTGCGTCTGTCGCATTGTGAACAACATTCCATACTTTCATTCAACAGCAAACAGAATGGCTTCAAAGTCTAGGTCCTTGACACAGTTACTTATGAAAACGCGAAATAAGGTGGGGCCTTGAACCGGTTTTTCTGTAACTACTAACTGCTAACGGATTCTGCCGTCCGATCAATGGCGGGCTCTTTTCTATAGCTTCCTCTTCTTGTTAACTTTCTTATTTAAGGACGGAGTCAAGCATCGGGATGTATTCGTTAGTCTTCTATGGGTTTGGTTTCTGCATTTATTCAAAAAGGGCCATTTACAGGGTCATTATTACTGCTGGACTGAATTAACTGGGGATTGTTCTGTACGATAATTAATAATCCAAGTGGACGCAAACATTTTTTGATTAAAGATGTTTTTCAGGAAGTCTTCTAATATTTCGGTAGGTAGGATAATTATTACAAGGCAGTGTTATTACCATGTTCCCTAGTGAATGCTTCATAGTCGAAAGCTACTACTTTCAAAGAAATCTTAGATGTTGAGATAGTTAGCGCGTTCCAGCCACGCGTTTCTTTTGGCCTTCTTAAACGTCACTTTGTTAAGTTTTGTTAAAAACTGCTAGCAGAATCCGTTCTCAGCTTTTACAGCTGTTTAATGCTGCTCTGAATTTGAACTAATCATCCGAGCGCCTGTTATTCATATGCTATGGGTCTTCCTATAAATATGTTCAGATGTAGATCCCCATGTCACATTTAAATGGGCATCTTATAGTTGCCTTGGGCGTTATCATATATGGCGTAGACAAAAGTGACACAGTAACGCGTAGACCGGACAATTGTTACCCAAGCTATTGGTGCGTCTTTTATGCGACACTGTTTCAGTAACAGAATGCAAAGACCCACTGTGAATAGTATTAGAAAATCTGGTCTGCCATTAATGTCGTTGCATTTATAATAACGAAAAAAACACATACCTTGGATCCGAGTCTTTATCACGACAAAACATGAACAGCCATGAAAAATCGGGGCAATAAGAGTCTCGAATTCAGGGTAAAAACACATTAAATGACATTAAATGCTGGCACCTAACTCTCACCTGTGGCTCCACGTAGCTGGGCTCTGCTCAGCGGCTACCCCCGGGGCAACCGCCTCGACCTGCGGGCTAATCCAGGTGAGGGTATCCGTGTGCGTACCTGCTCACAGGGTATTTTGGTCTCCTCTGGCTGGATGGATCTTCGCGTCGACATCGTCGAGACGAGGCTCTGCCTGGACCATCGTAGGAAGCCACCAGGTAAGTTCTTCTTTCGGTAAGTGAATTTGCTTTGTTTCTTCCTTTTGTCTGATAAAGTTCCGTGTTGTATGCTGCTCTTTTTGCCTGCCCTGTACATGTTAGTCCGTCTATTAACATCTATATGAAACGCTTGATGCCTGCTGCAAATGTCTGTCTGTCAGTCTATGCCTCTCTCTGCTAATAACTAGGTGTTACTGTGCTTGATCTTGAAGGATGCCCTCTCACTTCTGTCTCTGACTTATGACTGTGTCTGCTTGTCCACTCTAGCTGTAAGTCCCATAGCGTTCTGTTTGTGTGTATGATCTCTCCCACTTAACTCAATCACATCACCACCTAGATCCCAGGCTAACTCGGGTCGTTCTCTCACTAACAAAAAGTCGTGGCCCATAGTGGAGTCCGGCAGCCGTCTGGCATAACCGGGCAGCCCTATTTAGTGGGTGCTCTGCCTGCCCTCGCGAGGAGCAAGGGGCTAGAAAACGTCCCCGAAAAATTGTTGGAAACCACGCTGTCTGTAGGCTGGCCGTGGCTGCAAACAAAACACACACGGTCAAAACAGCCAAAACCGAAAAACCAACAACAACAACAACAACAACAACAACAATCACCCTCTTCCTCTCCAATCTATTCTTCTTCTTCTTCTTCTTCTTCTTCTTCTTCTTCTTCTCCTAGTTTTCACCACCGCAATCGCCGGACCGGCAGGGTGAATCCGCTCACTCTGGCAGCCTGGAATGTTCGTTCTCTTTTAGACAATCCGAGCGGCAACCGACCGGAACGTAGGACAGAGTTAGTGGTCCGGGGAACTGGCGCGCTACAAGGTGGACATCGCCACACTCAGTGAGACTCGATTCTCCGAACAAGGCCAACTGGAGGAGGTGGGTGCCGGTTAAACCTTCTTCTGCAGCGGTAGGCACAGGACAGAGCGACGGGACGCGGGCGTCGCCTTTGCCATTCAGAACGACATCGTGGGACGACTGCCCTGTTTGCCGCAGGGCATCAACGATCGCCTGATGAGCCTCTGTCTGCCTCTCTGGGGAGGCAAATTCGCCACCATCATCAGCGCCTACGCTCCGACGATGACCAACCCCGACGCCGTCAGAGACAAATTCTACGAGGACATGCACGCCCGCTTGGCGACTGTGCCGAAGGCGGACACGTTGGTTGTCCTTGGCGACTTCAACGCCCGCGTCGGCGCAGACCATACTGCCTGGAGAGGAGTGCTGGGTCCCCACGGTCTCCGCGGCTCAAACGACAATGGTCGGTTGCTGCTCCACACCTGCGCAGAACACCGCCTTATCCTGACAAACACGTTCTTTTGTCTGCCGGAGCGAGAGAAGGCCACCTGGAGGCATCCTCGGTCGCGTCAGTGGCACCTGCTGGGCTATGTCCTCGTCCGAAGGCGTGACCAGCGGGACGTGCTGGTAACGAAGGCGATCGCGGGTGCTGACGGGTGGACTGAGCATCGCCTCGTCATCTCGAGGATGCGTATTCGCCTACAGCCTCACAGGAGACCTCAAGGTAAGCGACCCCCAGGTAAGCTGAATACTGCGCTTTTGTCTTTGCACGCTCACCATCTTCATTTCAGCAATGAGCTAGCTCAACGGCTAGACAACCTTCCAATCGCTGCCGACCCCGCCGCTGCCAAGAACGCCTCCGTTGAGAACCGCTGGTGTCAACTGCGGGACACGGTCCAGTCGATGGCGCTAGCCGTCCTCGGTCGCGCCCGCCGCCAACACCAGGACTGGCTCGACGACAACGATGCCGCCATCAGAAATATGCTTGCTGAGAAGAACCGCCTACACAAAGCCTACGTAGACCACCCCACTGAAGACAACAAAGCTGCTTTCTACCGCAGTCGCCGCCACCTTCAGCAACGACTGCGCGAGATGCAGGACTCCTGGACTGCTCACAAATCTGAGGCCGAGCATTTCCGAGGCGTCCTCAACCGCCCCTCCGTCATCTCCGACGCCGCCATCGCCCGCTTGCCGCAAGTGGAGACCAACGCGGACCTCGGCCTCCCGCTGTCTGTCTAGGAGACCATCAGGGCCGTACAACAGCTCTCCAGCGGGAAATCACCCGGATCGGACGCAATCCCTGTTGAGGTCTACAAGCACGGAGGTCCCCAACTGATGGATCACCTGGCTGCGGTCTTCCAGGAGATGTGGCGTCAAGGTGTAGTCCCACAAGACTTCGAAGACGCAACCATTGTGCATCTCTACATGCGATAATGGAATCGCCAAGTCTGCGACAATCCCCGTGGCATCTCCTTGCTGAACATCGCCGGGAAGATCTTCGCTCGAATCCTTCTCAACCGCCTCAATAACCATCTGAAACAGGGCCTTCTGCCGGAAAGCCAATGCGGCTTCCGTCGTCATCATGGGACCACGGATATGATCTTCGCCGCCCGTCAACTTCAGGAGAAGTGCCAGGAGATGCTGACCCACCTGTACTCTACCTTCTTGGACCTGACGAAAGCCTTCTACACGGTGAATCGTGAAGGACTGTGGAAGATCATGCAGAAATTCGGCTGTCCGGAGCGATTCACTCAGATGGTGCGTCAGCTGCACGACGGTTTGATGGCGCGAGTCACGAACAACGGAGCCGTCTCAGAGGCATTCGCAGTGACCAACGGAGAGAAGCAGGTATGCGTGCTGGCGCCTACCCTCTTCAGTCTCATGTTCTCTGCCATGCTGATGGACTCCTATCGTGATGAGCATCCCGGGATCCGCATCGCCTACAGGACGGACGGTCACCTGCTAAATCAACGACGGATGCACTTTCAATCCCGCGTATCCACAACCACCGTTCACGAACTTCTCTTCGCCGACGACTGCGCACTGAACACCACCTCAGAAGAGGAGATGCAACGGAGCATGGACCTGTTCTTCGCCGCCTGCGAGAACTTCGGTCTGGTTATCAACACGCAGAAGACGGTGGTGATGCATTAAACCCCACCCAACACCGCCACTCCCTCCAATGCGCCGCCACAAGTCATCGTGAATGGGATCAAACTGCAAGTGGTGGAGAATTTCTCGTACCTGGGTAGTACCTTCTCCCGCAACACCAAGATCGATGACGAAGTAGCCAACAGGATCTCGAAAGCCAGTCAAGCCGTCGGACGCCTCGAAAGCACAGTTTGGAATCGTCATGGTCCCCAACTCAGCACGAAGCTGAAGATGTACAAGGCCGTAATCCTGCCAACGCTGCTTTACAGAGCGGAGACTTGTATACAAAGCAGGCACGCCGACTGAACCACTTCCACCTCAGTTGTCTCCGTCGCATCCTGAGGCTGAACTGTCAGGACCGCATCCCCGACACTGATGTGCTGGAACGGACGGGAATCCTCAGCATCTACATCATGCTGAGATAAATGCAGCTGCGCTGGAGCGGCCACCTGGTTCGCATGGACGACGAGCGACTACCCAAACTGCTCTTCTACGGAGACGTCGCGACGGGTTCTCGTCGTCAAAGAGGCCAAATTCGCCGTTACAAGGATACCTTGAAGTCCTCCCTGAAGCGCCTGCAAATCAACCCGACCAACTGGGAAGAGCTCGCCCGCGATCTTCCGACATGGAGGAGAACAGTGAAGACGGGCGCTGTCATCCACGAAGCCAACCGCATCGCCGCCACCAAAGCGAAACGCGAAGCCCGCAAATTCCAACTGCGCCCAGTACGCAAGGCCGACGCACAACCGATACCAACGTGTTCTCGATGTCAACGGACATTCCGGGCTCGAATCGGACTTGTTGGAC